TTTAAATACACATGAAGGAAAAATTAGGCTTTGTAGCAATCCCTTATGAATAAGAGCAATAATTAGACAAAGTGACACTTTAGTGAGTTTTAGATACTGTGTAACATAAATAATAGGAATTGGCTTGTTTGGTAAAAGTATTACTTAACTTAAAGGCAGTTCTGGCACTGGAAGGGTTAATTCACCCAATGAAGGAGAAATTAGAAGTCCGTTTCAACAAGCTGAGAACTAGGAGTGGAGAGTGGGGAAGTCCGTTTTAACAAGCCGAGGTCTGGGAGTGGAGAAGGTAGAATTCAGAGTTACAAGCCGAGGTCTAGGAGTGGAGAAGGTAGAAATCGTTTACAAGCCGAGGTCGGAGTGGAGAAGGTAGAAATCCGTTTACAAGCCGAGGTCGAGAAGTGGAGAAGGTAGAAATCCGTTTTACTAGCCGAGGTCTAGAAGTGGAGCAGGTAGGATCAAAAGTAGAGCAGCTGATCTTTCTGCAGCACCTGTGCGAATAATCCAGCCCTTTGAATCTGGCGCGGTCTTCCTAAGTATCGTGGAGGGACCGCGTCAGAAAAAAGGGCGGGGCTGAGCGCCGTGAACCCGGAAGTGGGTTCCGGCGACGAAATACATGCCATGCTATACCTGACACAAAGTCTGAAATATCCTGAAGAAATATAGAGCCAGATAGGAATTAAGGACATGTCAAACCTAGAGAATGAACAAGACTAGAGTAATACAAGACAAACTCTTGTAAGAAATAAGAAACCCATCTTGGATAAAAAATAAATAAATTTAGAGAACCTCCATGAAACCCAGACACAGTCTAGAATTATAGATCTATTATGTCAACAATAGAAGATAATGTCCTTCTCTGATATTAATTAAAAACTAAATGGATGGTATAATCAAATCAGAACCTCGACAAAGGCATAACTTCTAGAGATCACATTGGAACAAGCAGATACTGTTGGGTGAGAACAGTCCCACCATGCTATTAAACACGGGGAGAATTACACTGAGAATCCTACTATTTTCTGGATGTATTTATTAAAGACGATTCACACTGTTTCCTCTTGCTTAGTGAACTACTTACCTGTAGATACAGGAAACAAATCAATATCTGCCTGTCAGAAAGAGGCAGTGCCTAGTAGAGAAATAAGAGAGTCTGTTATTAAAAACACTGCAACAATGACAATATATTGCAAAAAGCAGATTCACAACCATACCTCACACTGTGAATGAATTGATCAGTTACAGGAGAGGCAGAAACCAAAAACATAAATAGATATTACTAGGCAAAGACGAGAAGAATCATATCATATAGATTAGTTTAAAAAAAAAATGGTATGAACTGTAGAATTTGTGGCAACTACTAAATTATAAGTAGGCAATGTAGGCCAACCACGTCAGTACCTACATTCAAAGATCAACATATAGTAAATAGTACAGATTATGCCAAACAGTAGAATCAAAATGATTAGAGACTGTTGTGCAATATAAGTAGGAGATATGTAATAGGCAGGTTATTGATGAGAAGGTGGTAACCAGAGGCACATTATCCATTGTGGCAACAGACACATAATAAGCAGGATAGTAGAAGATATTCAGTTATCCTTATGAGAACAAACAACCGCATACTTACTCTGACCCAGTGGCATACATACTGGGCCCATCACGACCGGGTGCCTGCCGCCATGTGTTGTGGTCCCGGCCCGCACGGCAAACCGCCTGGGCCACACGGTCAAAGGACCCATGCTGTTAAGGGGGGGGGAGCATGGTTCAGTTTCACACCGGCGCCCCATCTATTGTTTGTACGCCACTGCTCTGACCTTATCTTAACATAGTAATGAAGTACTTTTGGCAGAACCTATGGTGATAATAAGATCATTCTGCAGCTTATTTTATCTGCAAAGATATCAACACCAATACAAGCATATAATCCACAAGTATTACATCAATACAATGTTATACACTTATACAGATCTAGGTACAGAGACCATGTAAAACATATCAGCCAAATGAAAGCCACACATTGGTTGCAAATTCCAGATATGAGGACAACAATCCCCATGAATATCAGAACAGAGGTCCGTAATGGAACTTCATGTTCAGGGATTTCCTTAACTGTTCTGGTAGCAGGTGAATTGTACCTGAAATAATAAACCTGGTAGAATGATCTGGGGACTCGAAAGACCTTCCATTGTCAAGTAAAATGCTTGCAATACCTATCATCAAAGTTACATGGAGCATATGAGTCTAAAAGAAAACCTTTTATTGCAGAAAGGAATTTATAATGTTCCCCTTCACAAAAGGGGAATCGGTGGGAAATCCTGATCCTTAACCCCTTAAGAACCAAAAGCATGCCACCCTTGACATATATTAAAGTGATTGCCAAATTCCAGGTCTCCAAGGGATAAAATAGCAGAATACTGAATATAACAAATAGCACATTCTCCAATTTATAAAGATTATGCTTTAAGGAAATTTACTCAGTTGTAAAGAATATTTTAAACCAATTCCAAAACGTTGAGCTAAAATCTGAATAAAAATGATAAACCAGACCATTAGTAGTGAATTATATGCGTTTTGCACCCCCCTGGTGCTTTCTCAACATCGATGTTGAGAAAGCACCAAGGGGGTGCAAAACGCATCCAGGGTACTCATCTCATTTTTTTGGGTAGCAGTGGGGGTGGTCTCTATTGCAAATCTGTTTCATTTTTGCCTGGATACTTGGAGTATGATTAACATTTCAATTCATTGCATGCTGTTTGCATAACACCATATGTATAGATGACTGCATTTTTATTTGGAAAGGGGATCTTTTAACATTGGAAACCTTTAAACAATACCTCAATTTTAAGCCTTACAATCTTAAGTTCACTTTTAACCAGTCCCAAGAGAAAATAGAATTTTTAGATCTGGAAATTTATTTAAAAGATAAAATTGAAATGAAAACTTTTAGAAAAACTGTCGCCTGTAACAGCTTCATCCCGGACAATAGCTTTCACAAAAGAACATGGCTAAACAATATACCATTTAGCCAATTTAGGAGAATCAAACGCAACTGTTCGGAACCTGAAATATGCACTAAACAAGTAGAATAAATTAAACTTCAATTCCAAGCAATAGGTTATGCTGAAGATATATTAAACCAAGCTATAACTAATACAAACACAATGGATGGAGCAATATTAATTCTTTCCTCTTCTCCAATATATTGCTGTGGAGATAGAGAGATATACAACAATAGTGTAAATCAGTTACAATATATATTAAAGTGCAGTAGGTGCAAGGAAACACTCACAAAATTAGAGCCAAAGAACCTGGCTCTGGTGTAGATGGCTTCTGGATCTATTATAGGGTGATCCTTAACCCTTCTGTCGCTGGTATGGTTTCCAATAGATAGAAGAGGATCCAAAAGATGGAGTGATAAAAAACTACTTTATTATAAAAAGAATATATACATAAAATATTAAAGGATAAAATATATGTAATAAATAGCAAGCCAATACGCGTTTCACAGATTCTTGATGAAATTGAATGGCAAGAAAACTATTTATTAGTAACTTGCGATGTTAGTTCATTATACAGTATTATACCTCACCATTTGGGAATTAAGGCAATAAAACATTTTTTAAACAAATCAGATTTTAAAGATATACAAATAGATTTTATATTAGAAGGGATTTTATTAATTTTATCGAATAATTACTTTTGGTTTAAAGATTCTTTTTTTCTACAAATCACAGGTACGGCGATGGGCACTAAGTTCGCTCCAAGCTATGCAAATTTGTTCATGGCATATTGGGAAGAAATAATAGTCACCCATAATGCACAATTTGCGAACATTTTAAAAGTAGACACTCAATTAGACCAAATATTAGGTCACAGACCAAAAGTTATTCACTTAACCCCTTAAGGACCAAACTTCTGGAATAAAAGGGAATCATGACATGTCACACGTCATGTGTCCTTAAGGGGTTAAAGGCCCCTTATCTAAGCACTTTATTAGCACCAACAACCAAAGGAGAAAAAGACAAAAAAGAAATTAGTTCCACTTATTTAAAAGCAAAAATATGTTTTTGGAAATGTAAGAAATGCAGTGCCTGTAACAACCTCCATAAATTAAAGAATTTACCCATCCTCAAACTAAACAAAATTTTCAAATAAAAACTAATCTGAATTGCAATACCACAGGTCTTATTTATTTACTAAGTTGCCCTTGTAATAAATTTCCTATAGGACGGACCAAAAGGTCCTTATAAACCAGAGTAAGCGAACACATAAGGTACATCAAAAAAGTCTTCACTCACACAACTTATCAAAACATTTCTATATGATACATGCAAGAAATGAGTTTCAAATTCATGGCAATACAGAAGGTTAATATTCCATGGAGAAGAGGAGACTTAGAAAAAAAGAACTAGGTAAAGCAGAAGCAAAGCGGATTTTCCAGTTAGACACCTTGGAACCCAAAGGGTTAAATGTGGACTTTAAATTAAATGCATTTTTATAATTTTTATTATAATTTTTATTATTATTTTTATAGCGTACTTTTTTTTTGCTACCATTTGATTGGGCAGAAGATATAGCTCTCTCATCTGGCAGCAGCAGGTATTGCTATTATTTTGATACTTTTTCATTTTATCCAATATTCCTATTTTTTGCAAATCTGTTTCATTTTTGCCTGGATACTTGGAGTATGATTAACATTTCAATTCATTGTATGCTGTTTGCATAATACCATGCCTGCCTTGATATTCATTATGTATGAGGACTGCCATGATACATTTTCTGACATATTTTGTTTTTTGCACTGATTATCAATAAATGTGAATTTTTGCAAATTATTAATTCCCTCATTTATTCGCATAGAAATCTATTTTTTCTGTGGATTACAGGGGTTTATCCCTGAGTGCAGGCCATAACTTTATTCTATGAAGTATTGTCTATGTTTGGGAAAGGTCCTGCACCAGAATTTAACCTCACTTATTATACAGGACTTTTGAATGTTCCTGTTATTTAATATATTATCACTTGGAGTAGCAGCATCGTTTGTGGATGGATCTCACTGCCCATTCACACCTTTTCTGTTCTATTTTTGCATAACTATTACAGATGTGCTTTTTGCTGGGTCTTCAGGGATAAGAGGCTGAACAATGGCCTGGCTTACTGTAGGCAGTAGATCACATTTATTGCCTGAGGGGTTACCCAGGATGGGGACTCAGAGATTTGCTGTTGTTGGGTTTTCAGGGATAAGAGGCTGAACCCTGGCATGCAGTGGACCATTTTCATCCCCTGAGGGAGAGGTTGGGTCCGACCCCCGGTCACTAAAGGGGGTACACAAGCTAGCCACTTTTACAATAGAGTGTTGCTGGGTCTTCAGGGTCTGGCAGGGCTACAAAAATATTGCCTGGTGAGCATAAAAGAAAAATCTAGGCCTGCATAAGCAGACTCCTTCCAAACGGCTGTGAAGGATAGGAAAAAAAGACTGCCTGATTAGAAGGGGAAGATCTATTTATACCAGTTTCAGAGTTCTATTTCCTGTCCTTTCTGCTGTGAGGGGAGGAGCTAACCCATGAGTAAATTCTGCCATGATTGATCAGAAAAAAAGAATACACTCACATCTAATGGAGCCTAAACACATGACTCAAGATGGTTAAGTGCCATGTAGGCAAAATGTTTAGGCAATTTTCTATCTCCAGATCAATTTTTTTTTTATTGTCTCTGTCAGTAACTAGCAAGATACAGCAGTATGCTAATATAACACTAAAATCAATGACCCAGACAAGCACAGCAAGGGTGAAACACACAGTTTCACTATTGGTCTGTCTCTGACAATAACTGTATTTAAGGTGTTTGGAAGAATTCAGCTTGGAAGTATACATTGTTTTACTTCTAATATTTTCTCTCTTTTGGCCAGTTGTTACTTGATCTGTAAATAAAATCAGCATTTACTGTCAGTCACCTAAACATCAATAATATTTTTTTTTGCTACCATTTGATTGGGCAGAAGATACAGCCCATATGATTGGGCAGACCTCTTATCCATCATGGCAATCCAAGCTGTGTCATTGCCCCATCAAAAAAACAAAAAAATAGGGGCTTGTGTTGAATACAATGGAAACCCCCTGCTGGGGTCTGTGCATAAAAGGCAGAGTTTGGCTCATTAAAATCAGTTGTACTCTCAGAACTGTGTGTCGTCTAATTACTGGGAGGGAAAAGGGGAGGAGAAAGGGCTAATCACTGTTCCAGCTCGTGGAGGATTCAGGGGGGTAAGTCCTTGTAAGGACTAGAGCTCCCAGGACTGTGTGTCCTGGGAGGAAATAGAGCTAGTCCCCTATCCTGCTCCAGGACAGAGAGGCTCCAGGAGGATGCCAGTCAAGCCACGGCGACTGGGGCAGAAGCGCTGAGGTTTACCCCATTCCAGCTAGAAAGCAGTCCTTAGCGGAGGTACCAAGCTGGGGTACAGGGAGCTCCGCTACACACCCTTTATTCTGACTGCCAGGAATTTCACTCTGAACTATGATTCGACATGAGCATGTTTGGTTTTTCCGCAAGTCGGTTTCCACAAATAATTGTACATGGATGTTTGACTTAATTGCACTTCTGCTCGAATCTAATCTCCAAGTCTACCAGGCACAACAATAGCCCGGAGCCTTAGATGAGTTCAACATATATTAAGATAATTTACATTAAGGCACTGGACTTACATTTGAAATTGACTTTGAATTCTTACTTTACTGAATAATCCTGTGTAATTGTAATTATTTGTGAGAATTAGCAGATCTGCCTTTAGGAGCTACATATTCTTTGAAAATTGCTATAGTATTGGTATTTTACATGAATAGTTTCAGTGCATAAGAATGCATGGTATTAACCCTTTTCCGAGAAGAATGTTTGATGGCTATACATCTTGAGAATGCTTTCTACACCACAAATGCTTTTACCTAGACCTTGTAATGTTTATGTTGGCAATACATGCTGGTTTGCAATTGAGTCTGAGTCACTACTGGAAATATAGAAAGTGTCCCCATTTATCATGCTATGACCAACCAGAACTCTGATGTGGCATCAAATCAAATCCAATTAAATAACTGACAAACTATTTAGTGTCTCATGCTAGTGGTGGTGAAAAGCTATAAACCTGTCAGGATTTATTTTGAAACATAATTTCTCCTCCAACACTAGCATTACAGATGACAGAAAACATTTACTTCAGAACCCCCCACCCCCACAGAATTTAATATCATCTCATAAAAATCTTTGCTATCATATTCCCTGATGTACATCGTGAAACACCCTCTTTTGATTACCTAGAATGTCTTGTGTGCCACGAACTGGAAAAAGTTCTGATTCTTGTAATTCTTCTGACTATTCTTCCCTGTGCTTATGTATTTCCAACTAGTGAAAGCCAAAGCACTACTCTAGCATAACACTAACAGGGATGGAAAATATATCTAAGCCAGGAGGCAGAGCTTAACAGTGGAGGCAGATGCCATTTCTTGGGTCTCCTAGTGACCATCTGCTCAATCAAAAATTTTTTTGAGTTTAGTCTGGGGTTTAAATTCTATTCTACTCAATTTCAGGAAGCTACCAGGAGATACCTGTTTTATACCAGTGGACTGCCGCTGCTTAGACCATTCTATGCGGCCTACTTCCTTAGGTGGTACCGCACCGGCTCGCAACTGCTCCCGCATCTTGTACACTCACCAAATGCACCAATGAGCAGCAGATCGCGTAAGTCAAGTCCCACTCCTGAAGGGCCCTTGGAAATATGTTCTTCTGGTCTGCTGCACCTAAAGGACCACAGCCTGCAGAGACCTACCCATCGTTCTTGAAAGCAGGCAAGGAAGAGCAGGAGGAGTCTCCTCATGCTGCCACCTCCCAAGACGATAGTTTCTTGGGGTTGATGATACACCATCTACAAAGGAGGACATTAAAAACCTTTAAAGTAATATGAAAACACGTTTTCTTCTGACCTGTCCATTAACAAAGAGAAACTTCACTCTATTACAGCGAGGTCAAGACGACGGAGGAAGATATAACCAACTTGTGCCAAACTATGGTGACTATGACTTAGGCTGTACAGCAACTCCACTCATGCAGACGGAACTTGCTGGCATTTCCGATCTGGACAGCCTGTATGGGTGGGACCAGTCTGATATGCTTCAGATATGTTCTCGTTGTAATGGCACTAGATGAGCTAAAACCAGCTTGAGATGTGAGTGAGGACCCACTGAAGGGCAGGCTAATTGAGCTGTTGTCCGTTCTCATCTCTCTTGCTCCTTTTTTTTAAAGCTCTTGTCTTGCAAATGGATATGCTGGATGAGCAGAGTAGAAGAAAGAACATACAGGTTTGTGGTGTAGGGGAGACAGTATCTGTGGAAGAGCTACCTCACTTTTTCACAGGCTCTTTCTTTCATCAATACTGACATCTGTATGCTGGGATGTCATTGTCCAATGCCAATCACTTAGTGATAAAATTTGCATTATGGCTATGCTTAAACACAAGACACCATATGAGCTTAAAAACAACCAGCTTTCCTTCTATCAGGAATAACACAAATCAATTCTCCTTTGGTGTTGCGCCATGGGCACAGTAACCAAAACTCTATGTGATGCTGGATGCAGAGAAATGGTCTCCTTCATATAGCATCTCACTGCTATGCAGCTTTTGGACTACCTGTCCTCTGAGCCATCTGCAGTGGCGTCTCTAGGATTAATTTTTAGGGGGGGGGGCACATGGTTGGCTAGGGAAAAAAGTAGGGGGGCACATTTAACCCCGCCCTCGCTGCAGTTTGACCCCGCCCCTGCCGCATGTTAAGCCCCACCCCCGACACAATGTGTTGCTGTTTTTTAAAAATCCCTGGTGGAGGAGTCATTATTTTCCACCAGAGATTATTAAAAAACAAACACATTTCCCTTGATACAGTGCCTCAGTTGCCAACATTTGAAAAAAAATTCCAAGGACATTTTGCAGAACAGCTATCAATTACTGTCTGGGTATAATATCCCTGGACAGTCAGTGCTCTCTGTACAGTGCTGCTCTCTGTATAATACATGGCTGTGTGTATAATATCCCGGGACAGTCAGTGCTCCCTGTATAGTGCTGCTCTCTGTATAATACAGGTCTGTTTGTGTATAATATCCCAAGACAAACTATACACTATACAGGGAACACTGACTGTCCCAGGATATTATACACACACAGATATGTTTTATACAAAGAGCAGCACTATACAGGAAGCACTGACTATCCCGGGATATTATACACACACAGACTGCTGAGTCCAAATACACACACAGACACAAACACAGACTGCTGAGTACATATACAAATACATACTGCTGAGTCCATACACACACAGACACACACACACAGAGACTGCTGAGTCCATACACATACATACACACATACTGCTGAGTCCATACACACACACAGACACAAACGCACACGCACAGACTGCTGAGTTCATACACACACACAAATAAACACACAGACTGCTGAGTCCATACACACACCCACAGACTGCTGAGTCTATACACACACAGACTGTTGAGTCCATACACACACAGAGACTGCTGAATCCATATACACACAGACTGCTTTATCCATACACACACACACAGACTGCTGAGTCCACACATACAGACTGCTGAGTCCACACACACACACACACACACACACACAGACACACAGACTGCTGAGTCCATACACACACACACACAGGCTGCTGAGTCCATACACACACAGACACACACGCACAGACTGCTGAGTCCATACACACACAGACTGCTGA